AATGCATGTTTAACACATTTATATGAATTTACTAGCTACTTGATATACTAGTACTACTGTGACGATGGAACAGCAGGAACAGTTTGACAAGGGCTCCTCCAAATGGTAAATAAATGCTACTACAATTACATACGAGCATCTGAATTCCTGCACTGCTACATAAAGAACGTGAATTTGCTACATACATTGAACGATCACTAAGGCAAATTTCTTTCGAAATGGTCTGATCAAAATAAAACAGCGGACATGTTCAAATGGAGGATTAATTAAAGGAATTTTTTTAGGTAAAACAGATCAACAAGCCAAGGAAATAAGCCTGTGTAATAATGTAAACAGAAAGATCAGCAAAACATTTACATTTCATATAATGAATATGTCCTGGTTATGTGTATGTGTGTGTAATACATGCAAACAAACAAAATCCACCAATAGATAGCAAAACTAACTCTTGACCCTAAATAATCAGACCCCAGCTCCAGTTTACCAGGACATTCAGATCTAATGAGATGAAACAGTGAGCCATGCTTGTTTGGACAGCAGTTTAGGTGGGATGGCCTGCATACATTCATCAGAGCAGAGGGTGCTTTATTGGGAATTCATTAATCACAACAGACCTAATTATAAATTGATCGCATGCTCATGCAAGATGAAGAGGCCTGTCTTGCATTTCTGATCAGCAGGGGAGGGCCAGCAGGGCCTAAGGATAGTAACTGACAGAGAGACTCAGAGATCTGCTTCTATCCGCTAACACAGAGCTGGATGAGAAACCTCCCCTCAGCACACCTGCCACATGCAGTCATTACAGAACAAACATCAGGAGTCCGGCCCTCGCTGCAGCGTCTAGGACTTGCCCACACAACTCATTTGACAAATCTTACAAGAATCAATGACTTTTCTAGGTCCTTATTCGCTGATGCAAACTTCCCATTCATTACCTTAAGATGCAGTTTGCCACATATGTGCATTTGACACAATGTACGCTCTTCTCTGGAATTTCCCTATGTCACAGTAGCTTACTAATATTTAAATATCATACTAATACATAAAATATATGCAACACATTACAATAACATCTCGTTTGATTTGGTAACATAAAATGCATTAGCTAACATGAACTTCAACTAACAATGAGAAATAGGCTTAGGCCTATTATGGGGGTTATGCGCAGCAAACTTCCGTAATCAGTAAAACAGATTGCATCGTTTCCGTTTAAGGTCTTTTGTATGTGCTTCGTTAAAGAGCTTTTTTTTTTTTACTCAAGATGCCTTCGAAGGGGCGAGCAAAGATAGGCATAACAGATGCAGATTAATATCAATTTTTTTTTTTTTTCTCACCAACATTCAGATATTAAAATTGAATAAAACACCAACAATTCAAATAATTGCCTATATGTTAGCTGATTACCTTAACCCTTGTGCGTACTTAAGGACATTTTTGTCTTTTTCAGTTGTGTTTTTGTGATAATTTTTGATCACAATTACTGATGTGTCAATGCCAACTGCACACATTTTGGCAGAGCAGATGTGTTTATTTTTATTGGAATTATATTTCACCCTCATTTTCTTTAACAATCAGAGTCCTTCCAAGCTTTATAATGGTAATGAATGGTGGTCCTGATTTTGAAGTCCAAAAAAGCACATCAATCCATCATAAAAGTAATCCATACGGTTCCAGGGGGTTAATAAAGGCCTTCCGAAGCAAAGCCATGTATTTTTGTAAGAAAAATATACATATTTAAAACTTTATCAACTAAAATAATTATACGCATGAGTAGACAAAAGAGTAACCCCTAATGTGATGTAGAGTTGACTAAAAAGAGGAATAATAAAATCATCTTTTGGAAATTGATCTTAATGCCTTAATTAAAAAAAATAAATAAAATAGGAAAAATCCAACCTTTAAGGACACCAATTTTCTTTGTGAATGAATAATGTATCATAAATAAATAAATGTTCTTCCTTAAAATATAGGGGGCATTTGTCAGGACACCCCTATGTTAAATTCCCATAGAGGCAGGCAGATTTTTATTTTTTAAAGGCCAGTTATTTCATGGATCCAGGATATGTGCATCCTGATAAAGTTCCCTTGGCCTTTGGAATTGAAATAGCCCCACAACATCACATACCCTTCACCATACCTAGAGATTGGCATGAAGTACTTTCCATAAGATCAACTCTCAATGCATGTTCAAAGGCACAATATGTTTTTTTTTCGCCACAAGAGGGCGCAGTTTCCAACAATAACAAAGGCGTAGGTTTATGACGCAATTATGAGCTGAATGATGGGACTTTCTGTCAAGCTGATGGATCTAATAATGTTTATCGATAAGTGCAAACATTCATGTTTTTTAACATTACAGTGATGAAGCAGGTCGCGATTAAAGAGAAAGATATCACATGTGAGTCCCGCGGATATAAAGGAATACAGACATTTAATTCTACTGAACTACCTGCAAGTGCTAAACTCACACAGGTCAGTTTATTAGACGAATTTAACTTGTGAGGAAACTCAGCGCTGCTTCACTTCTAACGTTATCACACAAAATGGCATTTAAATGTGGGTAGAAAATTAATGTTAACCTACGTGTTAGTTTGTTTGCTATACAAAACTAGCAGTTAGCTAGATCAACATTAGAATAACACACTGACCATATTCTAACATTTAATCATGTTGAGCTAACGTTATATATTAACATTGAATTGTCTTATGTACATTTGCTCACCTGTCTAATAATGCTCTCAAGTCGTGACTCGTGAAGCTATGGTCCAAGTTAGACGTGGACGTGGAGCTCTCGGCATCTCAAAAACGCAGTGCTGATCCTCATTTTAGTTCTTGTCCCAAAGACTGCTTGCCATGTTTGAAAGAAACAAGAACTGCTTGCAGCTAAACGTTACGCACAATGCAGTTGTCCAAGTCTGACACCATGGCTATGGCAGTATGAACGGAAACCGCCAATAGCGCGGATATTGCGTCATTGACAGGCAACATTTTTTTTTCGGGACGCCACTTATTTAAAATTGGAATTTCTCTGAAATAATAAAAAAAAAAAAATCTTTGGAGACTTTTGTGATATTGTAAATACAAAACAGCATGAAATATCACACTGTGCGAGTGATTTTTGGATATATTATTACAAAATTCTTTATTGTACCTTTAAGTTTCTGCAAGTCATCTTGTGTTGCAAATGAACATTACCACATAAAAGTGCTGCACCGTTTTAAGGGGATAAAATGAATGGTACATGCACTTTTACAAGTTGAATATACTGAAATGTGTGTTGGAAGTGCTGCTCACAACCATTTTTTATACCATCATATTTTGGGTTTGCGGCATATTAGGCTACATATTATAAATAGGCAAGTTTTTCAGCATGATAAATAGAATGTGTGGTGAGAGAGCGTGATAAAAGACCGAAATGAGAGCCCTGCAACTACTTTACTTTCTCCTGCCCGCAGATAGACTTTTTTCTGTAGCTACTTCTAAATAGTTTCAAGTTAGCCTACGTGTCAAGGGGGTAATCCATCAGTCGGAAGTTGAAGCCTCGCGGGAGCCGCCATTGTAGCAGAACTTCACCTGCTGTTAGCATTCTATTGACTCCCGTTCATTTTGGCATCACTTTGACAGTGAATAACTTTATCCGAGGTGTCCAAAGACTCCATTTGTCCATTTTGTATTTCTAAAGAAACATGATAATGTATAAAAGGCTCCATTACCTTGTATCTCACGTTATGGCCCCGTAGAAGCAGTTTTTGTAAAAATAGGCTAACGTTTGCGTCATAACGAATCGACTCTCCGTCGCACAGTAGAGAAATTACCGTATAGACAGGAGGAGAAGCCCATAGAGTGTCAAAGTTGATCTTGCTGCTCATGGATAATACTCACTTTCTCCATCTCTGTGAGATTCGGAAGGGAATTATTCAGATTTTACAGCTACTAGAAAACGTACAAGTTGCTCACGTGACAGGCTCAATTTGAGCCTGCGCAGTACGCCTGCCGATCAGCTTAGCTGGCTTCAATTTTCTTAGTTGAAATCCATGGGGTCGCTGTGTCCATTTCTTTTAACTGCCTATGCCTATACTCCACGTGCATTGTCTAAACGGCCACAGAACAGAGGGGCAGAGTGAGTGAAGCTCATTATCATTTAAAGACATATGCACTCAAATGGCGTGCTGAAAGCAGAGCTGTTTTTGACCAGGTACAATTTGAGTTTTCTTAAAATACCAGGGGCGTAGAATTCAGTAGGGACACTAGAGATGTGTCTCTACCAATATAACATTTTAATGAGAATTTTTTTTAAAAGTATTTTACAAAATTTTTATTTAGAACCTAAAATTTCATATTAACTTAATACCAATACCAAGAATAATACCAATAATAGATTTAGCCTGGTTATTTATGTCAAAAGTAAGCTGGAAACGTTCAAAATCAACCACCAATATCTTCCATCTATTGACAACTTGATCACGTTAAGCTGGGCAGGCTTGTTTTCAGCAACCAGGCACCTCAGCTCCACTCACTTCAGTTTCCCGGGAATGACGTGCAATGACGCAATGCCAATATGGCAACTGCCAGCTCCGCCCACTTTAGGCTTCAAAAATGCTTTTCAGAAACCTACGAGTGATGTCATGGACACTGTTTCCATAATTTTTTTACAATCTATGGTATCGATACTAAAATGTGACATGTAAACACTGCAGATCTCTGATTGGTCAGAAAATCATCACTACCAGAATCATTGGATTTCTCACACACAACTTTAAAAAGAAAAAAATGGTACTATCGTGGCCAGTAGAGTAGAGGTGGTGGTGGTGGTGCAACTATAACGATAAGTCTATAATCGCACCCACTTTGAAGCGTTACGAAACTGCAAACCGAGCCAAAGTAAAGTGAGCCGAGTTGTACCACACAGTGGAAAAGCACCAAAAAGTCTGTTATCAAAAGATAGAAACCCTGTAGGCCTATTGCAGGATCATGCTATTCCAGAAAGCACATCAATCGCCTTCTGATTGGCTAAACAAAGAATCCATTTTTATTTTACAGTTTAAAGAGATCACAGATACAGGGCAGTTATTATTTCAGATATCTTTAAGAGACTACAATTATTTTCAGTATGTCATTCCATAAACAAAATTGCTTACAGCATTGTTCCATCCATTATAAAAAATAAAAAATAAATTCCCATGTAAAATTGAGTAACAATCAAAATACTGATAAAATGCATTTGCTTAAACACAATGTTAAAAAAGGCATTTGTTAGTTTAAAAAGTTTTAGTTTAGTTATTTTCCCTAGGAATAATTAAGTTAACGATTTGTATATTTTGCAATGGCGATATAGCGATAGGTTGGGATAAGAGTAAGAAAGCAAAAGCAAATACATTTGTAAAGTCTTTGTTCAGGAGACCGACAGAAGGGTCTGAACTACATTCCCATTTATGCAACAGTCATTTAAAGCAGAAAACATGGAAAACAGATGTTTCTCTTTCATTTGTGGTGTTTGGGCTCACAGCACACAAATGAGACTGCGTCCCTCTTCAATCTCATCCTGCACCTTGTCGTTGGAGGTGGCAATCTCAGCCTGGGCTGAAAACATGGCACAGAGAAAAGTGAGAACAGTGCCTCCTATGGCTGTGTAGAAGGCCCAGCCCAGAGAACACAAGCCCACTTTGTATGGCGACGCATCCTGGCCACAGTAGTCAACCACCTTCTTAGAGCCCCAGCCTGCAGGATAGAGCATCAGACCTAGAATGAGGAATAGACCTGCAAAGAGGACAACGGGAATGCTGTAATTACAAAGACAACCACTTCAAACAAACAAATAGAAACACATCCAGTACATGAATGTCTAAAATAATGGCATGAAAACCTACACTTTTACATTTTCCAAAGACAATAGGAGTGATGTTATTGACACAACAATACTAGGATGTTGTCATATTTTAAAGGATAGATTTAATCATTCATTTCAATAGTCCGCTTGCATCAAAATTGATTATATATATATATATATATATATATATATATATACATTTTGTAACCGTGTATGCAGTTATGTTGTGTGTGTATGCAGTTATGTTGTCTGCCACCTTAAATGCTCGAGCTGGATTCTGACTGGCAATGTTTTTATCTTCCATAAAAAAAATTATTCTGAAAGTTATTTCAATGTCATTAATTAGTCATTATAGTATTATTTCTCAATTTGCATAGAATTTGAAGACATGAAGACACAAACTGAGATTTAGCTTTGTTTGTCCTGACAACAACCCTGTAGCCCTTTTGAACTGTGTGATAACATCATCAGAAGAAATATCTTTACAACATGAACGTTTTCCCTGTGATAACAAAGGGTGAGCCACGAGTCACGATTTAAATTCAGTGTCATTTGGGCCTCTAATGAGCTATGTGATTATGCTTTAAATATACATTTGCCTCAAACTCTGTGATTTAATTTTAAGTACTGTTTAAAAGTCAAGGCAAGAACTCTCGCTGATCTAATCTTCATACCAAACAGAGCCAGTCACTGTGATCCCTCTATTTTATTCCGTGTTCTCACTCTAAATAGGCAAGTGAGATCCTGTCTCTGAAGTCACGCTGAAGTCACGCACACTCACTATTCACAAATTACTCAATCACCGTGTTGTAAATCTTTCAATTAAATCATACAAGAGCTATGTAATTTGCTTGTGCCTGTTGTTGGTCTTGGTCTTCTATAAAATGAACCACAATATTTTTATTGTACTGTATTGTTCTAGTGCTTCCAGACATGACTGCAAGTAAGGTACATTATCAAGACTGATCTGTTGGTATTGTGACTCAGAGGGCCCTGCCACAGTCAACATTACAGCTCTGTTCCTTTGAGCTGGTTCGAAATGGTAACAAAAGGAGGTTGGATTCCTAGGGCTGTATTCACAAAGCATTCAAGCCGGAATGAAATTAAAATCCATTCTAAATCCATTATATAGTTTATGAACGATTTATTCATGCATGTGTCGTTTCATATTTTTTAATCAGAATACAGTGACAACTCATTCATTCACAACTTGCTGTAAGAGCGGATTCATTTTAGCAAGCAAATCGCACATCTCAAAATCCGATAAACAGCCAAAGGAAAGAATCGAGTTCCCCACCTTACGTTTTCTATTTTGATAATCAACATACAGCAACTTGCAACTTTAAAGGGATAGTCCCAAAAAGGACAATTCTGTCATTAATAATTACTCACTCATGTCGTTACAAACCCGTAAGATTTTCGCTCATCTTCGAAACACACAGATCTTTTTGATGAGATCTGAGAGCTTTCTGTTTCTTCATAGACAGCTACGCAACTACCACTTTGACGCTTTAAAAAGTTTAAAGAGATAGTATCAACTAATTGTAACATTGTTTGTTGATTGGGGAAGGAGGAGGCGGGAACTGGCAAACATATAAGACCATACTTTAATTATAAAATAAATAGACTGCGGCACAAATAAACAAAATAATGTAAAATAGGCCAGGCCTGGTCCTCTCTCATCCTTCACTTTCCCCGCCCCTCCTTTTATGCATGTTTTCTAAAGATTAATGAAAGTCTTACTGGTTTGGAACGACATAAGGTTGAGTAATTAATAACAAAATGTTCATTTTTGGGTGAACTGTCCCTTTAATAATATAATCTACTATAATAAGAACTATATTTTTTTTTAACTAAAAGAAGAATGTATATATTTTTATTAAGACTTTTAACACATTTATTCGGTTGTAAGTAATAAAGACACACGACACACGTTTGAAATGTTTGAGATTTTCAAACATTGTGCCTCTGTTAGCTGGAGATCAAGTTCTGTTTTAAATAAGAAATAGGACAAGCTTAACAAGGTTATATAAACATTGGAGACACTGAAGTAACATTTCCAATGCCGTAATATTTAGACTGTCTTTTCTGTAATAGGATGATGAGAGTCCTGAAGCTCATAATTAGATAGCATGGTCTTTGAGGTCACCAGAGGAATGTCAAACCCTTGAATCTGTGAGTTCAGAGCATTCTGTGGGGTAACTTGAGTGTCTCACTTAAACACACTCCCTAATTTTCGGTTTAATTGATTGTGGTGTTAAGCTTAAGAAGACCACCACAAAAGACTGCCAAGAATCTAAGAAAGCAGTGCTTCGATATACTTTCCCATCTTACCTGCTATTCCCTGAAGCAGGCCACACACATTGAATATGCTCTTCTTCAAGATACTCTGGAAGCACATGCTGAAAACCGAAAGGATGCCCACAACAGACAGGAGAAAGATTCCGATGACTAGAAATATAACAGTTGCCTGCCAGAAGCCACTGGCTATTTCCATAAAGTCTGTGGCGTACGGCCCACACTGGACCACCTTCTGCTGTGCCATCTTGATGCAGCGGTTATAAATACCCAGGGTGCGCTGGTCGCTGCGTTGGGAAGCGGTGATGGTGAAGTTGAATTCAGAACCATCTGGATTTCCCACAAGCCATTCAGCGCTCATAAATGCCACCAGCTCGGCAAATGCCACCACAATGCTCATCAAGGTCCATAACATAGAGCGGCATGTGACTATGACGTGACACATTCTGCAGAACCTTGATGCCGGCACTTGAGAGAAAACGCTTTCTTCTCTGTTGAGGTCAAGCAGCACGTCAGTGAAGAGCCATTGGTGTTATCATCACAACTAAATCAGCCCCATATCTCTTCGAACTGCAACTTCTTGAACCATCTGGAAAGTGTCCATGTACTAACACAGAATTAACAAATCTATGAAGAGAAAAAAAAAGGAACATTTGTTTAGAAAGTTATAATCAAGACCATAAATCAAGATTGCACAAGAGCTCTGAATCAGCACACTGACCTCTGGACCAGAAACAAGGAAATTTGATTCTGATCAGGGTTTTGAATACATAAAGCTCTCTCTGTAAAATCTTGCACACTCTAAAAAAGGATTAAAAACTATAAATTAGGCCATTTTTGCAACCCAGCGCTGGGTTTATTTGATCCAGCTAGGTTAGGTAAAATGTTCAACCTGAACCTAACATCCTGGGTGTGTTGGTTTTTTTTCATGAATTGTTTAAAGTGAAAAAATTAATTCACCCTACTGCAAGGAAGAAGTTTAGGAGAGAAACTGTGAGGACAGAAACTGAAGACATGTTGGACCCCTAAACAACACAGTATTTAAAGATGCTGTAAGCAATTTCTGAGAAACGCTGAATGAAGTCGGCATAAAATTTTCAAACAGTAGGGGAGGGCGATCCGGCGATCCTATATCATGATCAATCTTGAAGACGTCCATGATCTTCTAAGCGAATGGTAGAGATCATGATCGTTTATGTCCTCATAATAATGTTAAAATACAGCAATGACTGCCTACTAGATGACTGTGCTAACTGGCCAAATTGTATCATGTGTCTCTATCATGTGTCTTTCATGTGTGGTGATACAATAGAAAAACAATTCAACAGCAGTAGGGATGTGCGATGAATCAAATTTTAGTTTTGGTTTCGATTTTGGCTTCCAATGATTATAAAAACGTGATAATCGAGATACAATGATCATAAGTAAGTCATACATTTATTTGTTAATGTGATACTGTGTTTTAAATTGTAAAAACAGATCATAGAGCATAGGCTTGTTCCAGTCTGGATATTTTTGATAGTACATCCCAAAATTGGTAAGATTGCGATTCAGATCGTGATTGTTTGTTATAAGATTGTAATATAAAATTTTGGGAAGATTACCCACCCCTAAATGGAAGATTCTTCCTTATTGTGATGTATATTGGAGTAAATAGCTTCTTGAATAAGAAATGTAGGGCAGGACTTGATTTTATCCATGTAATTTATCCAGACTGTCGCACTGGTCCAATACAATTGGCCAAACTAATAAGCCCTGCCATATCTGTTACGCGAGCTTAGAGCGAATGAGTCATGTGACCACTAAACAGAGTTGAGTTCAGCGAAGTTTTGTCCTATTCAAACCACAAATGCCTCGTGATTTAAAATATAAAGCCAGAGAAAATGTCTCAAAGTCAGAATATTAGAATTTTAACCAATAAACATGGTTATAATTTTAACATATGTTTACTGTTTTTTGTTTTTTATGAACATAAATTTACATCTGCATCCCAACTTAAAGTCGGAAATAGAAGTTGAGTAATTTGTTCCTTGTTGTGACGTATATTTGAGTGAAATGGCTTCTGAAATTAGAAAAAAAAATGTATGGCAGGGCTTGATTTCATCCTTCGGGAATTGATTGGATTGTTGGAGGTTGGGCGTTGCAAACAAAATGGAGGCAGATTTGAGTGCGATTCTCTGAGAGGCGGTGCACCGATAGCCGCACCCTCATCGGATCTGGCCGCACCCTTTCACCATTGCACGTGACCGAAATAGAAGAGAGGTCGTTTCGATGGGGGAGGGAAGGGTAATGTATTTGATTAAAGATTATAAGGTACGTGAATTAAAAAGAAAATAATGTGCACAGATAAATAATTTATAATAAACACTACAATTTTACATATAAAAAGAAGATTAGTCAAATTTGATTTAATGCCAACTATAAGCTACTACTATTGTCAAAAGACAAAAATATGTAATATCAATTTTTCACATGTTCGGCAAGTGTTCATCGTGTTTTCATGATAAAACCACAATTAACAGTCTGGCTTCAACAACATTCACTAAGGAGCAAAAATCTGCCATAAAACTTAAAAAAAATAATGATTTAACATTTATTGTGATCATATTTTGTGATATAAAAGTTGTGATAATATTTAGTGTATAAAAGTTGACCATTTTCTCAGCCCTATCGGGAATTGATTGGATAAATATGGTTTGCTATTGTTGTAATCTCTAGGTTGTCCCACCCTAACACCAATAAACACGTCATCAGAGAAGAAAAGAGATGCTGTTACAAAAGGGAGGGGAAATTTAATCAAGTATAAAGATGTACACGGATAAATACAGCAATAATCCATTAAAAAAAAGAAGTGTCAATTTTGGTAAGGGGAACCTCCATTCTTACTTTCTCTAAAAAAATTACACTTTTTTTTTAATGAGATTGTATTATTTACATACGAATTAGCCACCAATTCATTAAGTGTTAGTCATTTCACGTACCTATCACAGGACATTGCTGCAAGCTATATGAAACTTTCACCTAGTCTGTGTTATGACAGGTCCTTACTGTGATACCACAAGATTGTGTAAGTAGCAAATGCCTGTTTGTACAGGCATGTAAGATGGTAAAATAACGAATGTGAAACAACAATCTCTACTCCTCAATGAAATCCTAATCTAAACAAAAAAGGCATGACATTTCAGACTTAAAGAAATCCCTAGTTTAAGTAAACTGAGGCTGAGTACATGATGACAGGTAAGAGTTTCCTTAGAGCCTTCAATGACAGTACTGTGAAGGTGATATATGAATGATTATGTTAGAGTCGCATCAAGCACTGTTTTATCAGTTAAAATTGAAATGGTAGGCAATCACAACACCATGCATGTCAAGCTTGTTGTCCCAGGAAATCTCCAAATATGTACACATACCACATACACACTATACAGCTTTTTGGTTGCAATACACTTGTCAGTCCTCAAGAATGATTGCTAGATTATCAAGCTGCATTGTGAGCTGCCCAACTGTTTACCTGAATGGCCAGAATGTTTCAGATCTAAGAAACACAAAGAATGAGCTCACGCTTAATTTAATCACACCACATGATTTCCCCAAAAAAGGAGACAGCAAACCAAATAGGAAAGTGCCATGGATTCTTAAGGGGCCTGAAGAATGTCAGAGCCTGTTGCTGTGAGATGTGGACACAAAAGACTCTCCCTGCTGGGGAATTAACATGGTCCTGAAAAGGGATGAAGAGGTTCTCTACCTCTGAATGAAGATGGAACCAAGTCTCTAGAAACGGTGACAGACTTTCAATGGCTCAAGAGTTTCAAATGGATATTTGACCAAATGCTGCCTTCAAAACAGTTCGAAAGCTAACAAGAATCCTTCACTGTATTCATCCTATTCAACCTACCTTATATGTAATTACTGGCTATCCTCTACTTTATTAATATGGTGTTTTTGTTGATAGATTCTTGTACTTTTATTGTAGAACTCCCATGGTACATTAATTGGTGGTAGCCTATCATTGGTATGGTACATCAACAAATATTATGGAACATGTCGATAAAACATAATGGTGTTGTTATGTTGCCCAAAAACTACAATAATCCCATGGTAGACTCCTTTTTGGTTAGTGAAATATTTATCTCCAAAACATGTTTCTATGGCAAAACATGGTAGCCTATTACTAAAGTGTCATGTTCATAAAACCATATTTGTTTCGTTGTAGCAAACTTTGATAATAACTTAATTTAACCCTGAAATCTTAAAAAAAAATAAAAAAAAATTTACCGGCGTCTCGTGTTATTGTCGAGAAGATCTTCCAAACATTCTGAATACAGTCGGTTTACCAAAGTTTGCATATAAGCACAAATTCAGAAAGCATTTGTATTTATATTTAAGAGACTATGAGAGGCAGTAAATTCCTCTCGCTCACATCTATCTTCGCTTGTTCTGTTTTTCTGGATGCTTTAGTAAAGTATCCCACTACTACAGCTAACAGTGAATGATCTCTTTTGTTCGACGTGATTTTCGTCGATGTCACAACCAAGATGCGACACAATTGAATTGAGAACAATAACATGCAGTCCGAAAGATAAACATAAAATGAATGTATCCCCCTTACCTTACCATAACATTGGTGAATTAACGGGCAGTTCACTGATCAGTCTTTAACTTCCTGATGTTGGCGGATCTCTACTGTTCTGACGCTACACGACACGAGCCAGAAGGGAAGGGAAGAACCACAGCAGAAAGTAACATGCGGCTTCACAATCAGACCTCTGGAGACTGGGATACATGGAAAATAATACAATATTCCGTTGTTTAAAGTTCACGGATCCAAGTTTGGTGTTTGTCTCAAATTAATTTCAGTTTTTGCCCAATTCAGCTACTTTCTCATTGTTTCTACACCGCCTCCTTTACTGCAGCCCCTCGGGAAGTTTTTATTGCTCGGAATGCGCCTATAGGTAGAGACTGAGAGCACAGCTCACTGACATAGGCGAGATCTCCTTTTTATGTAGGCTATCGTCGAGTTCTTTGCTGAAAATCTCTAAATTTGTCTGGAGAATCTAATTAACTATATTAGTTCGAGATATTTCATGAGACACCGTGCATTTATGGGGTGGGAAAGAAGACAATTTTACAGGATGCTTTTTTGCCTGGGACTTTTAAAACACCTTTTACACTGTCACAAATGTGTTTAATTTGTCCACAATATCCAACATTTCAGCCAATATTTAATCACCTGCTGGGAATTCTCGTCATTTAGCCTATGACATAGCCTACTTTTCTGAAACATTTTCTATCATGAATATTTCTATTCCAGACCAGTGTTATTGTTTACCATGCCATGACTTTTAATTTTATTATTGTTATTATTATTATTTACACAATTAAATACATATATTCACACATTTATTCATACTTATATATGGTATAGACTTGTATTATTATTATTATTATTATTATTATTATATTAGGTGTCCACTTATAGGCCTAGGTTATAATTAATATGTATTCTGTGCACATTATTTTATTTATTTAATGTTTTTATATTGTTTAAGTGATTCTATGGCCGCATTAATTGCCCCTTGGGGACAAATAGTTTTGAAATTCAAATTGAAATGTGTATACTACTCATCTCACCACTTATCTCAAATATTGGGTTTAATAGCATTCTTTGGAGGAAATTGTTTTAAAAATATTTTGGAATGGCCAACATCCTTTTAAATTCACAATTAAATCTTTTTCACAATTGAGTCTTTTCACATTTTTCCACAAAATTACATCCTGCGTGAAAATGATACATAAGGTATTCTGTTTTTAAATGATATACTTCGATTTTTTTTCTTTGTTTTGTTCACATAGCCTATATTTCATATTTCATCTCAAGATTGCCAATGTTTCCTTACTAAACACAGCTTTGAAGGAAACAAGGAATCATGGAGAAAACTGCTTGGTTCCCTTACTTTACAAATGCAAATAATACACAGATTAAAATGTTTGTTGTGGTGCTATATGTTGCTGTAACTGTGGGAGAGACATAATTTAAATAATTTTCACACAATTTATAGGCCTACTGAAAAGGTTTATTTATTTCAGTCTTTGTTGAGTTCATAATAGTAGTAATAATTTTTTTTATAATTCAATAAAATAAAACAATAACAATTATAAAAAAAACAACATTTAATAAAAAAGACACAAATACAATTTTAGAAATCATATTTGATTATTTTTATAAGCTAAGGGATTTTAATAGGTTAAGATTTAAAGTCTGTGTCTAAATATTACACAAATATCACCAATCTGTTATATTTAAATATTAATATTTTGAGGCCAGTGTTTTAAAAAGATTCCATATAAGGACAATGGGCCTATTGAAGTATGAATTAACAAAAGCATGTTGTAGTACTTCTGTGTCAACTCTAGAGAGCTCTGTTGTGTCTTTTACTGTAAGTGAGTGAAGGTGACGAAAATTAGATATAATATTGTGTATATAAAGTGTGTAAAAAAAAAACTGTGTACAACTGAATACTGTGTAATAGTATTCTACTGTGTATACTGCTTTAATACTGTGTACAGCTGAATTGTTTATTAAGGCAAATGCCCTACTCTTCTTTGTCTTCTTTGTATTTGCTGACTGTCAGTTTATTGGCACTATTAGCCTACTCATTTTATCTGTAACATATTTTAGTTGCCTATTTTTATTTTGAACTAAAAAACAACCTTAGCCCAAGATCAAGCCACTGAAAGAAAAAAAAAAAAAGAAAAACTCTGATAAATACCTTCACATGTCTTATCCTTGCATAATCTGCCCTGCAGAATTCAGGTCTTTTCAAGTGTTTGGATGTAATCATGTTGTGAAATGTATTGACTTGCCAATGAGATAAATGTCTATGAAGCAAAGGAGATGAAATACTTTGTACATCCCCTAGATGCCAGACATAATATGTAAGTCATAGTTTCCCAACCCTTTTTTATGAATTGAATTGTTCAATTTGTCAAACATGTTTAAAATTATCCAAATATTGTATTATCCAATTATCCAAAATATAATATAATATATATTTTGTAAATTTAATAAAACGTAAATAACATGATTTGCGTGATTTAAGTACAAATATTTCTTATTGCAAGTAAATGGTAATGTAAATGAAGTTTCACTCTACAAACACAGTTCATTGTAAACATGTTTCTGTGTATCCATCCTGGTTTGTTCTTAGAAACTAACTGTGACTTTCCCTGGCAGTAACATTTTAAAAGACATCTAGATTGAGGTGAAGCAGACTGGAGGAGTTTAATCTTCAGGGAAACTGAGGCTAGGATGGGCCAAAGGGCTCATCAGTGTCCTCAGATTGAACTGGTTAGACATATTGTCAATACCTACAACAGCTCTACTGGAAAAGAATGCATTCCAATCCCAATAGCCTATTTAGAAGAGGAACAAACCCATATCCAATACAAAACACTTATACAAAAGCCATTATGTGAGTCATATAATTTAGGGTACATTACATATCAGCGAAAAAGTGTCAAACCAATACGCTTTAAATAAATAAAACAGCCATTGGTTTCAGTTGCATATTGTATCAGTGTAACATATCAACTGACAAAGTTTAATCATTAAACTCAACAAAAACACGTTTTCCCTGGTGAGTTTATCAACTATGTTGCAAACAAACTGTATGCCATTACACACACTGATTAAGGGATACATTTTTAAGGGACTGCAATTTTACTTTTGTTTTTGTTTTGTTTTTTTGCAGATATTTGTGTAAAATTCTCAGCACAGTCACTAAAGAATATATATATATATATATATATATATATATATATATATATATATATATATATATATATATATATATATATTCTTTACCGTAATTTCAAAGGTTAATATTTAAGATTCGTTGCAAAATGCAAGTTCATGTGGATAAAAATTATACAATGAAATTTTTTTAAAAGCAACATCTAGATATGTAAGATGTAAAAAATCTGTCAAAACATTGTTAACAATGACAGTGTTGACCAAAGTAACATAGTTGACAGGTAAAACAGTTGACCATTTTGCATCATAACTTAAATGGAAGGCCTTTCTCTGGCCAATCAAATGTTATTTTCTTGATCAGATTAACCTAAAATTTATTTGAAATAAAATGATAAAAAAAAATATAGCAAACCATAACCAAACAGTTGATGGGCAATTAATATACTCCTTGTCCTTGACAATAGGTCATTGGAGATAAATTACAGAAAGAAAGAATGGCTAGAGAATACCCATAATGCACTGTAGGCTATAGTATCCATTCTCTTAATGGATAAAATGTGATATTTCTGAATGTACATTTAATTACATTAAATGTAGCCTATACTTAAGAAAGACATACACTTACCTAAAGGATTATTGGAACACCTTTTCAATTTCTCATTTATGCAATTATCTAATCAACCAATCACATGGCTAGTTCAATGCATTTAGGGGTGTGGCCCTGGTCAAGACAATCTTCTGAACTCCAAACTGAATGTCAGAATGGGAAAGAAAGGTGATTTAAACAATTTTGAGCGTGGCATGGTTGTTTGTGCCAGACGGGCCGGTCGGAGTATTTCACAATCTGATCAGTTACTGGGATTTTTACGCACAACCATTTATAGGGTTTACAAAGAATGGTGTGAAAAGGGAAAAGTATGCGGCAGTCCTGTGGGCGAAAATGCCTTGTTGATGCTAGAGGTCAGAGGAGAATGGGCCGACTGATTCAAGCTGATAGAAGAGCAACTTTGACTGAAATAACCACTTGTTACACCCGAGGTATGCAGCAAAGCATTTGTGAAGCCACAACACACACAACCTTGAGGCGGATGGCCTAAACAGCAGAGGACCCCACCGCGCGGGTACCATTCATCTCCACTACATATAGGAAAAAGATGCTGCACTTTGCAAGAACTCACCAAAATTGGACATTTGAAGACTGGAAAAATGTTGCCTGGTCGGTTGAGCCTCGATTTCTGTTGAGACATTCAGATGGTGGAGTCAGAATTTGGCGTAAACAGAATGAGAACATGGATCCATCATGCCTTGTTACCACTGTGCAGGCTGGTGGTGGTGGTGTAATGGTGTGGGGGATGTTTTCTTGGCACACTTTAGGCCCCTTAGTGCCAATTGGGCATCGTTTAAATGCCACAGCCTACCTGAGCATTGTTTCTGACCATGTCCATCTCTTTATGGCCACCTTTATGAACATGACAATGAATTGTACTAAAAAGTGTACTAAAATGGCAGTCACCATTTTCCAGATCGCAACCCAATAGAGCATCTTTGGGATGTGGTGGAACGGGAGCTTCGTGCCCTGGATGTGCATTATTGTTATGTTGCGAAATGTTAAAGGTTAAATAACTATGTACTGTATATGTGTTTTCTAACCTCTTATTTTTTTATTTCCTTATCTGCTTCTCCACAGGGTTTCAGCCATGGCTTGCTTGAATTGCCATGGTGTTTGAAATGTGCTCTATAAATAAACCTTTCTTGCCTTTATACGTTAGCCGTTATCACAGTAGTGCCTCTGGAGCACAGGTCTACAACTAAAACAGTCCCCCCCCATGCCATCTCCACCTTAAATACATAGAACACAATTACCTGTTTTTACCATTCATAATTCTGTACATTTTTGCCACCTGAGTGTTGGACAATAAATACATACTTGCATGTGAATACATATTTTTTACATAACGCACACATTTATACATAAGTGTTCTGACGTAGATGTAGCCTTTTTTACTTTATCGTTTTTATTTTTTTAAATGTTCATTATAGGTATCTTCTTGTGTTATGTATGAATGTATGTACCCAGAGCTCCTGAAAACCAAATTCCTTGTGTGTTCATGCACACATGGCGAATAAAGCTAACTCTGATTCTAAATGACGTACATATTCTAGTTCTGCTTCCAACCACACAGTGTCACTGCTCCACAACTGAAGACTTGTATAAGGTTGTCCAGGGTACTTGCACCACTCTGACGTGTTACTGACCTGCACTGAAATTCTAGACGTGTTTACTAGACGTGAACATTCTAAAAAGGGAATGAAATGGCTTTTTTGTCAAGCTAACCTTCAGACCTTGTGTAAAAGGTTTAGGTTTAGGATTAAAGAAAGCAGATCTCAGCAGATCTAAATAATAATTTATTAGTGTGATTTCTAAGACCTTGTAAAAGTACAACCTCACAACTCCATGGGCATTTCTATTCAATATACCTTTTTTGTTCCAGTTAAGCAAAGAAAAAGGGAAAAAAAATCCTCATTCTTAATACTTATCCAGTAAATCACTAAAAAAGTAATGGGCCTTCAAATGTTGTTTTAGACATTGGGGGTCTTTGGTGTCAAAAAGGTTGGGAAGTGGGAACCACTGATTTAAAGGTTCTTTCTTTCCCTCTTTTTTCTGTTCTTCAGTTGTTACTAGAGTACTTTACACAGGTGGCAGGGGTAAAATCAGGATATTATCGCAGGTCCTGTGACAAAGGAGGTCTGCTATGAATCATATTGCATACTGTAACTTACTCATAGAGCCATAATTCAGTCCTGGGCCCTGTGAATTTAAATGACGGACCTGCCTTGAAGCAAATCACTTTGTGAGAGAAAGTTGTTGTTTCTCTCACAGATTGCAGGTCTAAATGTTATAAAGTCTTGGTGTGTCACACTATCATTTCTCGCTTTGCTTCGAAACAACAATGCAGTCAGATATCTTTAAATAGTCTTTATTAACATTGGGAAATTTAAAACAGAACTTTCCCACATATAAATACAATCATACTGACAGTGATCTATGTATCATAATACCCATCAGCAGGATGGACTTCTTAAATATTACAATAATATCGTTATTGAAAATTGTAAGGAATTGAGTACATAATTGCATTTGGTAAGTCAACAAACAAAGGAAGATCCTCGTCTTCAAGAAAATCCTGAAAAAATTTATAGATACGGGTTATTATAAGGCCAGTACGATCCCAAAGCATTACACTGGTCATTGGAGAAATCCGGAGTTTAACTATAGCAGGACATAAATTCGTCTTTTCCACTGTTTGAGTACCTGACGGACGCACTGAGGTGGCTCGCACTAATCTGGCATACAAACGCTCACACTAATATTGCTCAGTGTATATTACAGGCCTAAAGCATATGCCACATCTACGTCTCAGAGTCTGCTAAATGTCAAGAGCTTTTTAGGTCAGCGGTTGAGTATCCTGAAACTTTGACTGACCTAACATTGAGGCAGTTTCCATGAAGGGGAAGAGGCAAGCCAATAACATTTGGCTACAACATATGGCTCTGAATATCCAGTCTTAAAATACGACTGAAGATCCAGTCAGTGTAATTCATGTAGTGTCCTCAGCAGCATAAGAAACGTCCATTAACGCCAAACAGCCAGGCACACGAAACCAGCACCTTTAAAGAGTAGGAGCCTATATGCAGCCATGTGTTTGTTTTTTGTTTTGTTTTTTTTGCAGGCTGCCTAATTTGGGATTTTGGGATTGGGAATTCAAGGAAACATCAATAAAAGTACAGGAGTATTGTTGACAATAAAACTTGGTAGGTAGCAGTGGCACTGAAGAGAACGAACCCACCTCAAAAATACAAAATCAAGTGCAACCAATGGTTAATCATTCCATGTAAGTGAGTGAAGGAGAGACCGACAGTCGCTCGAAAGTACGCCAGACTCTCTCGGCCTGAATAGGATGCTGTGTATTTCATAAAAGGAGGAAAGTGGCATTAAAATCAAGTTTTGAGGCTAGCGGTTGAGGAGTCTAGCTGTCCTCTATGAGCTTAGCTAGGTTGTCTCTCAGCTCTGTCAGCTCGAAGATCTTTCCATCCAGAATCTCCAGCAGAGTTTTGAGGTTCTTGCGGAGGTTCTCTTGATCTACTTGACTTGACTCCAGACGCTGCTCCAGATCAACCAACTGTTCCTCAAGCTCCTTGTTCCGCAAATCTGTGTCCTGTAACACACCGTTTGGGTATTCATTACACTACAGCTATAAGACATAGACAAAAGTTTGTGTTAAAGGTATAGCGGAGGATTTTCTTTTTCCGGGTGGGTAGTCTATACTATTGGTCCACCTAAGTGTCAATCATTCTGGTGATATGTTTACGTAAGGCCGTCGTACGTGCTCATCCTTATGTAGTTTTCACTTTCAGGTGTATTATGTCGGAGTTGCGGTTTCAGCAATCCTTTGAAAATGGCCGAGGGTCGAAAGAGAAAAAATGTATACGAAGTGTATGATAAGAAGAGAAAGGCCACAGAATATAGAAACAAGACCAGAGAGATTTTGGGTTAATATCACATGCTGGCGTGCGCTAAAAGCACAGGTTGGGCTTCTCACTGATGCCGCAGTCGCGAAGATTCTACTAGACAGGTGAAGTTTGTCACGCTATTTGGAGAAATCCATTTAAAATCACTAGTAAAAGTTAATGCAAGCTACTTAGCAATGCTAGCCCTGGCACAAGTCATGCACCGCATAGACACGGTAAACATCTCAATTTGTCTAAAGAAGCCTTTTGACCAAATGATAAATGGTATCACCCTGAAATATTCTAAAACCTTGTGTGTTTATTATTACACAAATGCAACAAGCTACTTCTCCATTACATATGTAACTATGTATAAAAATAACGTATTATTAACAATGAGACATATTAGGTTAAGGACCAACGTAATAGCACTGCTTATATGTTGCCATGTAACGTAATTGCGATTTGCAAAATAGTTTCCTCAGAACGTATTTCGTGTGATACAAGGTTGTACATACCATGTCTTGAGTCCTCGGTCACTCAATCGATCAGTATAATAAGTAAATAAAACACGGAAGGGCATTTGACATGCTGTTTTTTTATGAATGTTTTTGAGTTAGTTTATAATTTGCAACATAATTGTGTAAGGCGTAATAGACGTTCCGTAATAGCAAGAGTGTTGTGTTTGTCCATGTGCATTTTTTTAAAAATTGGAGAGGGCGGGTCTTCTCTAAAATTCGGAAAGATCCTCCGCTATACCTTTAACACATTGTTGAATATTTAATTTCAAAACCATAATAACTAATAGAGAGTCCCCCTCCCTTTGCTGCAATAACAATGTATATTTATTATATTGACCATGCTAACACACAAATCTTTTGCAGCACTATAAATGTCTTAACTGTCACTTTTGATCAATTTAATGCATCCTTGCTGAAAAAAAGTAGAATTCTCTATAAAAAAAATTGTACTGACTGATCAATATATGTTATACATACTTTAATATTTCAATGACTGTTTCACTGTTCTTACAGACAGTCCACCCTGCAAAAACTCATTTTCGGGAGGTGGCACAGAAATAATATAAAACAAATTGTATTATAGGCTACTATTTGCTCATTCAATAGTATTTGTGAGCCGAAAGTGAAAGTAATGTATTTGAGTGTGATGAAAAAAAGGAGCAATATCCAAATGCATGATATTACCAGGTATAACGGTAATGCGTCTTGGCTGACCACTTGCGATCAGTTCATCGAAAACGCATCTTAACCAGGTGGAAACATGCTTTCTCTCTCGCTCGCTCGATTTCCGGAATATTGTATATAAATTGCGAGCATCAGGGAGCCGCTATCAATATGTGGGAGACTCCCGGAGAGAGGTGGGATGATGTCTGTTCTTACCTCTAATTTTTTAGTGAGTTCATCTTTCTGAGTTTGAAGCTGCTTTGCATTTTCTATTTCTTCTTTCAATCGCACCATTTCCTTTGAAAAACAAGTAAAAAAGAAGTTTAAATGGCTTAAGCATCTGGCAAAGCCAAAAAAATATATTGAAAGAAGGATTTTAGTGATATCATCGACCAAACGACATAACAAACCTCTTCTTTTGCCTTCAGTGTACACTCCAGCTCCTCTATTGTTTGGTTCAGCTCCGTTTTCTGGGATTTGATCACATTGGTTTGACTACTCTGACTTTCCAATTCAGAAACCTGCAGACCAAAAAAACAACAACAAACAAACAAACAAAAAAGAGTTTACAAATTTAGTTAAGACCTAAACTAAAAGGGGAGTTCACATTCACAACTTTGTCATAGACGTTAGGAAATTTACTACACTAGGAAACACTAGGAAATTTACCAGCAGGTTTAGCCTAGTTAAAAAGCACCTATCATAGCATTTGAAATGTTCCTATTTGTGTTTTTTCCCAAAAATAGTTTAACGTGCATGTAAGGATGAAAACACTTTATAATATGCATTTTTTTTTACCTGATTTGCTCAACGACTCCAAATGAATCGTTCAACGATTCATTTTCCCAAACACCTCCTTTGAGTGACGCGAATCTGCGGCGATTGGTCAAATGACCCTGTCAGTTGTTATTGGTAAACCGTAGGCAGAGATTGTCGGCAACGTAACGCCCATCACCCTTACTCGCGTCTACATCAAGAGCAAGCTTTCCCGTCGAAACTCACATTGCGGCGGCTTTTGAGGAACAGTGCTTATTATATAGAGCAAAGTGATATTTGGCTAAGTCGTTTAGGAGGTAATTGCCATTTTTTCAATGAATGTCTGGTGAATATCAAAAACAAAACTAACTTTACCCCGCTTAGAAGCTGCGCGGAGTGTACACAACACACACAACACAATATAACTATATTGTGCATGCTACAGAAAACATAACAGCAAACATTATTAATAATACTTACAGATTGTGATTCGAAGGAGGACGAACCTGATCCATATACACTGAGCCCTCCTCCGGGAACAACCGGCTTGTGAATCGTCATTTGAATTCATTTATGTTTTTGAATGATTCGGCATTAAAATGATGAGAACACAAGGTTCGGGCTATACTGTTGTGGTATCGTTGCAAATATGAACTCTAACCACCGATTCTTCACATGCTCGTCTCTGGGCAATGAAAACAAGTTGCTGAACTGTCTTTGCAATGTAGAACACAGCGTCTTCTCGACATGGCGCTATTCAGCTGAAGTTTTTGAATGTTTTCTAGACTAGACTTCAAGTTTACACTTCTGTCTGTGCGCGCAGTTGTTGGGAGCGGCCAATGAGCTAATGTTTCGTATCTACGTCACTACGAAACAGCTAATGACTCGTTTCAAAAACAATTCATTTCATAGACTCAGAGTCGACTCTCACTTTTGAAAGACAATAACATTATATGCGGTGCACTTTCAGATATAAATCTTTGCAGGATGTTTTCATTCCCTTAGAGCTATAGTCCACACCACATGAACAGTCATTTTCAAAAATCCATGAGAGGTGCTCTTTAACAAAGGTCCTGGACAGTGGCTCTCCAGGACTGACATTGCTTAGTTCTAGACAACAACACTAGATATATTGAACCCAAGGTTGTCAGATGTTCATGATAATGAGTTACAAGGTCAACTCTCCCCTCCTCACCCGTTTGTGTAGCCTTTCAGCCTCCTCCTGATAAGCTGCTAGCTGTTGTTTCCATTGTTTGACGTTGGCTGTGGACTCCAGTAGAGCAGCTGTGAGCTTGGCATTGTTGCTTTTTAGTGTTGCAAGCTCTGCTTCCCAGTGTTTGTTGGTAGTCGGGCTGTAGACAAAAATGAAAAAACAACATTAAAATCAACCTTGCATACTGTGTATCCTTGATTGTTGTGGTCCATTTTAGACTTAGGATTCAATCTATAGGCCAGGGTTTTTTCATGCCAAGAATCTTCAGATCCCCCAGTGAGGGAGTCACTTTCTAAAATATAAAGGCAGCTAGAGGCTAAATATATCTTCCACGTATAAAATGAATAAAATGTTAAATACTTTTTTGTCTAATTAAGCAATTGGCTTTTATATTGTCACTGTACTGAAGCAACACAAATTATTAAAATAGTCTCTCGAGATTACTTGCTTTGTATTAAGCTGTATTAAGTTTAAAAACTAAAGCTATCAATAGAATAAATGAACTGTGATCAATTTAATTTATGACCACTTTTTGAAGAGAAGAATGAAACAGTAATAAAATCGAATTTCATATTAGGGACCAGATTTACCAACAGCTTGTGCCAGCGCAAACCCTCTTTTGGCGTTAAAAAACTACTGTCAAGATTTACTAAAGAGACGCAGTGAAACGACGCATATGGCATCCAACTCACATGGCACCCTTTAGTGTCAATATGAAATGCGCCTCCTACTGGTGTAACCCTAACCCTACCCCAGACCTAAACCTACCCGCGCCATCTAACTGACGCTAAAGGTTGCCATGTGCGTCGGATTTAGACGCATGGTCAAAAGTGTCACTTAGATGATGCCCTAGGATGAGAATGTGTTGAAACATCTGACACTACCGCTCAAAAGTTTGGGGTCAGTAAGGTTTTATTTTTTTGAATACTTTTATTCATCAAGAGTGCATTAAATTGATCAAAAAGGACAGTAAAGACATTTATAATAATACTAAACCATTCTGCAAAAATATTACAGAGCACAAATATTGAAGAGAAATGTTTCTTGAGCACAAAATCATCATATTAGAATGATTTCTGAAAGATCACGTGACACTAAAGATTGGAGTAATGATGCTGAAAATTCAGCTTTGACATTTAATATATTTAAAGAGAACAAAATTATATTTAACTGTGATAAAATTTCCCAATATTCCTGTTTGTACTCAAATAAAGGCAGCCTTGGTGAGAATAAGAGACTTCTTCCCATTCTTAATGATTCTTTGACCAGGGGCGTCGAAACTTGATTCTGAAAGGCCACGGTCCCACAGAGATTAGCTCAAACTTGCCTTAACACCCCTGTCTGGAAGTTTCTAGTATGCCTGGTGAGACCCTGATTTTCACCCTGATGTTCAGGTGTGTTTAATTGGGGTTGGAGTTAAACTTTGCAGGACAGTGGGTTTTTCTCAATTTCAAGAACACAAAGAACTTGCGTTCAAGAACACATCCGGGCACTTTCATGCATCCTCTGCACTTGCAATCTTGAGTATTCTGGCCCTATTTTAACAATCTAAGTGCATGGTCTAAAGCACACGGCGCAAGTACACTTAGGTCCGAATCCACTTTTGTTAGTTTAACGACGGCAAAAATGGTCGTTACGCCCATCACATCGTCTAAAGGGGTTGTCTCTATTCTCTTAATGAGGGATGGGTGTGTTTTAGACATATCATGCAATAAATCAATCAGAGTTTCATTTCCTATTCCCTTTAAAAGCCAGTTGCACCAGACGCAACACATCTCGAGAGAGGAAACGGATCTGCTCATTCGTGAGGTTAAAGAGTGCAAGCAGACCATCTACGGGACAAGCCGAATTCCACCATATCTTCATGTACACAATAATAATCTTTTACATTGAAATGCTTTTATTTTTAATATTTGGCATGTTTGTGTGCACAGAAGCACATGTTCCTGTGTGTGTAATAAGCAGAATGTATGCGCGCCAATAGGCGCACATTAAACATAGCAAAATAACAAAGTGCCAACAATGCATCTGCCCTGAACACACCTCGTTTTCAGACCAGCACGCCCATGGGCGCACAAATGGGTGCAAAAGTAGTTGCTATTTAAACCACATGGCACACTTTGATAAAATGATAATGGCGCTGGGCTAAAACTAGCAAAAAAAACACATGCATCACGCCTGGCACCTCATTGCGCCAGGTGTATGATAGGGCTCTTGGAATTGAACTTCAATGTTTGATGATGATGTTGTACGAGAACAGTATAACAGTTGGTCTAGACCATAGACTGTAAAAAAGATGGACGACACCCCTTCGCTCTTTTCCATCGGAGAAAACTGAAGCCACCAATGTCCCGATATGGCGCTGACATCTTGGGACTTGAATGTGCGCACTTGCGTTTTCGGGACCAGTCATGCGCAGTTGTGAGCAGGAAGTAAAGCCGCAAAATCAAGGCCCCGCCCTCACTCTCGCAGAATCAATCGCAAGCACATTCCCCGCACTTTTCTTAAATGGCCTCTGTCTGCTACGTTCCTCTACAATGATGATTGCAATACCTCGTTAAAATAAGGTAAATACAACTACTAACCAAATAGTCAACATTACGAAAAAAATCTGTTAGTGCTTCAGTGACTACTTCGCACAGAGAACCTGTCAATCATGATGTCAGAGCACCGTTTTTATAGCATCAACTAACTAATTAAAAACAAAAACAAACTCTTGAAATTACATCAACGTGATAGAAACTGCAGTAAATGACGGAAACTATCTTTGGAAAAAGGATATGTGAAGTGTAATTTAATTGTTTAGTTGGTCTCACGTCCCATTGAATAACATGGCGAGGCGGGGTTTATGACCTATACTAGGACCGGTCACTGGGGGGTGAATGAGAAGTTTTGGCTTCACTTTTGAGGGCTTGTGCGGCACGCTTAGTCTCTGGACCATGAGGACTGTTAAGAGGACATAGGAAAAATGTCATTTTAAACGTGACAGTAATTATAGTTGGATGCAAGGGTTTTTAATTCGACCATTCTGTGTTTTACCAAGACTTGGACGCAGTTCAAGAGCAATTAACAAGGGTGATAAAATTCTCTGTGATCCAGATTCAATGTCATTAGCATAAATATTATTAATGGAATGTGACAAGCTGAAATAGATCAAAGCAGAATGCCTTCAAAAAGAGATCTCAAAAGTGTAAGGACAAAAGGAGGAGGCTAACTCTTCGGTTATATATTCCACCATTTCTCATCAGTCCATCTGTGTTCCTCATGTAGTGACAAACAAATCAAGCATAAATTTACAATGTGCTCTGATACTCATGTACTGACAAAATAAATAAAAAAATCAAATGCTGAAACAGTGTCCCAGTGCCAGCGAATACATAAGCGTCCCACATCTCCAAAGACTACGAGGAATCCCATCCGCTGTCATCCTGTTTAACATCTCAGAACACATCCCACCTCCTCTGCCTCTCTCCACGCACTCCACCGCCGCGGCTTAACCACGCAAACCGTCGCTCAGGACACGTGCACTGAGTCCTCAGCGCTGACGCCTACGCTGTACGGAGCGCCGCCAGTTCCCTTTCATCTCCCCCAGTGCCACCACCTCTGCTGTGGCTGACGTGATCGACCCCCGCTCTGACAGACAACACCTCAACCCACACTCTCCGACTCCTACTGGATCTGTGACACAACAGGCTGGAGACACACATGGCTATAAAGCGCCGCACACAAGGAGAAGAAATGTTCCTCTGCAGGAGAAAGAGAGGAGAGAAGATGAGAGTGAAGTCTTACAGCTTCAAGCTAAGAGAAACAGGGACTTCAGCCTGGTAAGTCAACAAATGTTGTATATTATTGTATAGTTAAATGTGCATTCTGTGTTGACTGAATGGGATTTGACTAGAGCCTAATTAAATCAGACTTTTAGATTTAATCATAGTCATTTTTAAGCCAAACAAGAAAGGAGTGTTTGAACTTGATTGTGCAGAACACATAAGAATCAGTTCAATGCAGTTGTATGCTGTTTTTATGGACTTATTGGAAACAAACAGTTTAGTCAAAAAACTGCAATTCATAGATTATCAACCATGTTATTTCATTCTCAGTCTATTCATGATGTACTGTTTTCATGTAATAAATGATTTTCCTCTAAAAAGTCTTTAAGCCTCTTATTCGTATATACAAAGTTGGAGACCTACACTATAGGCTAACAAATAAATGTCACTGCATTAGATATGAAATCTCAAACCAAGTGGTATTATTTTTAAAGGGCCATTGTATATATGCAGGTGCACAGAAGCATATGGCTGTCCTCATGACATAACTACAAAGAACAGCATAATGTCAGCGTGACTGTCCTTCAAGCCTACTGAATGTGAATCAATAAACAATCTCCATCTGATCGTTCCTCCAACAGCCCAGTAATCAACATGTAAATCATTTCAATGGATCCACAATGCACCTCTGTTAAATATATACCATTTAAGTCACCAATAAAATGGACTGTTTTCTATACGCCACATGAAAAACAGACCGTAATGAAGTGTAAAGAGTATTGATTGGTTTAACGCACATTTTGGTGTGCGTATCATATTAAGCCCCACTGTAAATGTCATTCACGACACTGTGATTCACGACAACTGCCCAACCAGCCTCTCAGCACTCACTTTAATGTACTGCACAAGACTGTGGGTTAGAGAATTATCTCATCACGTTATAACAGCCAAAGCAGAACAAATACACTCGACAGGCTATCTATGACCCATTGGGTAACATTCACCACATTCATATACATGTTTTACACCTTCGTCAAGTGACAGGAACAGTATTTTAAGGGGAATTTTGAAGTCAGGTCATCTTTAAGGGACCTAATAATATTATTCATTTCAAAATCAGCCTCATTGAAGAGTTAATTGCTGATTGTTAAAATAAATGACCAATAATTTATAATATCAAAGTGTTATGAATCAGTCTTGGCCAAACTAAAAGGACAATTTGCTATACTAAGATCCCTGACTCGTGTCAAACATTTTTACACGAGTAAATGCATTGTTAAAATTCAAGTTGGAAAACTTCAGCAGACTGAGAAATTGAAGTGGAATGACATTTAATAAATGTATTAAATGTGATGTCAGATTTACAGATATCAACCTTAGAAACACAACTTGATACAAAAAAGACCATAAAACAAAGTCACAAAAAGATTCTCCCCCCCCAAAAAATTGCAGAAAATATCAGTTTCCAAAAATTAAAACATTACCATTAAAACAACATCACGAGAGTTCAGCTGACATAACTATGCGGTCAAACTTTACATTAGGTGTCTTTTACTGTGCATTTACATTTAAAAAAAAAATATTGTCAGGTACAATGTACTTATTGTGTTGTATTGCAAAATGATTTTGTTGCAATTTGAGGTGGGATACGGGTTAGTTTGGGGACAGGATTGGTTAAGGTGTTAGGCAAGGGTCAACAGTGTAATGATACATGTAATTACATGCAGGATTTTTTTTTTTAAATACAAGTACAATGTAAAAACTTGTAAGAACACAATAAGTGCATTGTATCAAATGATTAATTTAGTACATATTAGTTAAAGACACGTAATATGAGGTGGGCCCATATATGCATATCTGTCTAAAAATAATAACAGAACTTCAGATAGAATTGGTTGCATCTACAGTCATTGTTGCATAAAAGTGCATTCATTATTAAAACATTGTAGTCGTGTCAAACAGCTGTGAAATGATGCTATCAGTAGGAGCAGACCCGACAAGTTTTAAGCACGTGTCTGAAAAAAAAAGACAAAAAAAGACCATATGAATTTGTTCATAATATATGAATTCACATGGACAAAAGACAATCCTATTTGAGGTCACATTGTAAACAAAAAGGTTGTGTTGATTTAACAGTGGGTTTTCTGACACATTTTGCAACAGATGACGCCGCCTCCATCTTCATAAGTCACATTTGCTCTGGGTTGAAAACGTGCCACTGTATTATATAATTCTGAGTTGTTTGGACATATTATTCTAGAGAAAAAAAAATAAAGTTATTGATGCTTCTGAAATTCATGATAATTATAAAACCATATATAGCTGTTTGGAAGAAAACTGCAGTGTGGGTGTTAAATGCGGTTTGGTCCACTGTGTATTTGCGTCCAATTATCAGTTAGTATTTTTCAAGTGGCAGGTGAGAGTGAAACATTAACCTGAGATTATGTAAGAAAAGGTAGGATGCTATTTTGGAACCTGAAGCACTGGATTGCTCAACCAATTCAAATTCAAGCATCTAGAGACCTGGTGAAATGGACTCAAAATGTTGCCTTTGCAGTCAGACTAAAAAAGCTGCTGAGTACATACTCGTATGAACAAGTGTCTGAATGCTCATACTGAAAATAATTTGCTGAAAAGTGCTCAAGAAAAGTGCAATGAACGTATGACTGTTATTACTAACTTTTACACTACTTTAAGGCAACAAATAAACTAGGAATGTGTTAATATAAAAAATTCTGGCTAATGAGCCAATACATGATTTATTTAGCTTTGATTATGACTAATAACAACACATTCTCATCCTAGGGCGTCATATAGGTGACGCTTTTGAAATTGCATCTAAATCCGACGAACATGGGACCCTTTTCGCGTCAATGTAACACGCTTCGCTTATGGGTAGGTTTAGGTCTGGGGTAATGTTAGGGTTAGACCACTAGGAGGCGCCTTCTGGCCCATATATATATGCGTTTCATTTGACGCTAAAGGGTGCGATGTGCGTCGGATGTAGACGCAATTTCAAAAGCGTGACCTACGTATATGATACCTTGGGATGAGACCGGGCTGATAACCCTTAAACAGCTGATATTAAAATTCTATATTATTTTGTCTAAATACATACAAAAAACTAAAACTAAATCAACCAGTGCTACAAGTGAATTTAGACATCGCAACATTATAATTTACCGTAGAAAAATGTATATTCATTTTGAGGTTTGCAATAGATTAGATTTAAATTTAAATTTAAATTAAATTTAAATTAAAATTTTAAAATTGTTATTAAATAATAGTGTTTTTAAAGATTCACTTTAAATGAGTGTTTTGAGTAACTTTAAGATGGAGGCAAATCTAAATGTAAAAATAGAGGAAATAAGCAATGCATGCAAAAAAATAAAAAAAGCAGAAATTAAAGAAATATTTGAGACAAAAAAACCCAAAAATCTTGTCGTTTTTTTTTTTTTTTTCTTTCTTGTTTTTGTCGACATTCTAACTACAAGTAACTACATGTCAGCTAACTTTCATTAATTTCCCATACTGGTCAACTAACACTCATTAGAGTTTTAGTAGATTGTTAGGTAAGGGCTCAGGGCCCGATATACTTCAAGTGAAATCGAATGAACTGGTGTGACGTCATTTCGAACAAAATGAGGCCAAAACTACTGTATGTTTATTTGAAATTCGGATCAAGAGTTCGATACAGCTTGCTAAAGTGGAAAAGTTTGCTCCCGCTGGTAAACACCTTCAAACTACCATTGGTCCGTGGCGATTATGTAATAGGTAGGTGTGGCTCTGAGACCCCGCCTTTTTTGACATGGAAATCATATCCGGGTTCATTTCTTCTGTTCCGTCAGTCACTGTTGGACGTACGCGAGTAAAAACTTGAACACATTGGAGAGCTGCTTTATAGTAGAAATTAATTTTTAAAAATTTGGCAATTTCAAAATGGAAACGTTTGCTACGGCTGGTAAAACACATTCAAACTACTTTTAAGGCCATTGCACACTGAGTACGAAACTTTCGTATGCGTATTTTCGTGTTCGTCAGCCTAAAAATTCATCACGCATAGAAACCTTGCACACTGAGTCCGTTGCGTATTTATTAAACCTTTGCGGGAAAAAACGCAAAAATACCAAATGGATTCGTCAAGCAGTGAGGATGATTTTTGCCCTCTCTCTTATTGAAAAGAGAAGAAAGAGAAAATATTACGTCCATCCAATCCTGAAATTGCGCCGAGACAGGAGAGTTCCACCTTATCAAGGATTTGCGAATTTATCCTGAGCGATTTAAAATTTACCTCAGAATGTCAGTGGGACAGTTTGATGCTTTGCTAGCGATTCTGGAGCCACAAATTAAAAACAAGACCACCAATTTCCGTGAACCAATCGATTCTGAACGGAGCCTGGCAGTGTGTCTGGTATGGACCAGGTATGGACACACACACAAACACACACACATACCCGCACGTGGCCCGGTGAAAGCGCTGGGCAGACAGAACAGCTAGGCTGTTATTGTGTATATTGTGTATTGTGCCCAAATAATACATTAGTTATCGAATAGGCTGCTCAATCACACCTTATTCGATCCTAAATTTCAATCTGATTGACAGGGGAGGTTTATTAATTTCATAATCCAATATAGAGAAGAGAACATAAACACTTGATCGAATTGAAAACCGAAACTGAAAGCACGGCGCATATGTGCAATGATTTGAGGACGAGCTCCCCCCGGCCCTGAATTGTCAAAAGACCTCTCAAAATGCTGGCTCTGGATGCGAAAAACGCAGAAAATCAAACCCGATCCGATTAATTTTACGACGGACGAAAGTTTCGGAGGCGGTGTGCAAGCGTGACTGACATAACGTGAGGTCGAATTTTTTTTTTAACGTGCGAAAATTTTGGATGCGAATTTCGGACTCAGTGTGAAATGGCATTCTGTTGCAATTACATAATAGGTAGGTGTGGCTCTGAGGCTCCGCCCTTTTTGACATGGAAAGCTTATCCGGGTTAATTTCTTCTGTTCCGTCCGTCACTGTCAGATGAAGTTGTAGTTCTAATCGAAAGCGATACTGTTACTGGTTTTTTTTTTCATGTTTAACACTATTATAAATCTATTGTGTATAGTGGAGAAGTCAACATATCAAACATATCCACATGATCAGATGCCTTTTAAATTGCTGTTTTCTTACCACTGTCATTTTTATTGTGTGTATATTTTAGTATTGAGAGTAAAGAGAGCAGCACATGTTAACATTTCATCTAAACGCTGCTCTCAGCAGTGTGGACGGCATCGATGTTCGCTTACAGTAAACCACTATAGTCACAAACTTCTTTTTACCCCTAAGCGAATAACGAAAAAGAACTTCACTGTGAGTATGTCGGGCCTTTAGTAGAATAACTTGACATGCATCCAAAGCTACTTACAGTCAGTAAAGTCTGATGGGTGACCATCAAAATAAAGTTTGCTAATACTCTAATGAGAGTTAGTTGACATGTAGTTGCAAAGTTAGTAGAATGTCTAAAGTGGACTATCGAGATAAAGTGTTACCTCTTGCTGTACCAGGATTCTGAAAAGATTTTATATTGAGCCCCAGTTACCTGTGTGCAAGGGTCGGCGTGGTCGGGGAAAGGTCTGATTGGAGCATAGAATTCGGTGACACGTCAGACAGAGTGACGTCATCACCCGTGCCGTTGATTCGACAGAGGTCCGCAGTGACGGGTGGAGTCAGGGGGGAATGAATGTCGGCAGGCGATTCCTGTGAAAAGACATTAATCGTGGGTTATTAATTTGTTGCACCCACACATAGTCAATACATAATCTTCTTTTACATATATAATTGTTAAGCTGCTAATTAGAACAGGGGATTTAGGAAAACTACATTTTTCTTAGAGACAATAGATTTCCCTTGGAGACTGAAATGCTGTGACCAGTCTTTATGAACATAATTGTTCTGCACTAGACTGTATTAATAAGAATAAATCATAAATGGAAAATATATTGATTGCAAAAAAAAAAAAAACCTATTACGGATTTAGATTTTTTAAATGACTTATAAGTCTTCCAAGCAAACTTTATTCCATGTAAACACTATACACTAAAACAACAGTTCAGACATTACAGGGCATACCTGAGAGGGCGAACTTGCCAGCTCCATCTTTTCTAGAGACTTCTCCTTGGCCATCCTAGCTGCTTCCTTGTACTCTGAAAATTTTTCTGCAAACTGATAAGAGAAAACCGGTTCAAGCCTTTAAACCATGGGATTCACATTCAGTTTGATAAAATTCCCATTAAGTTACAAATGTTAATTATGAATATTCTCTGAATGTTCAAAGCATCTGATTTTTAAATGTGAACGTTAAAAAGGAATGTTCTGGTTTATTATTTTGGAAATATTATGGGAGTGTTACATTTGAATGAATATCTCTGAATATTCTGAAATAAGTAGTAGCCTAACTTTTTTATTTTTTTAAAAGGCCAACATCCAACTAAATGTTTCAGGTAAAAGCATAAATAATAATTTTGTGCTAACTTTTTTAGAACTTTATTAAAGTTACTGGAAGAACATGTGTTCAAAACTTTGAGAGAACCTTCTTGCCACAATGTTAGCTAAAGTTTTGAGAATGTTCCCTGTTTGCTGGGTTGGTAGTTTGGTGCTGGTCCAGCTGATGAAGAATATCAACCAGCATGACCTTTCTGGGTAAATAGTTCAATCAAAAAAGTATTCCCGGTAAAGCTAGCTAAAAAAAAATCCTGATGGGGACACCAGCACACCAAGCAGGAGACATGCATTCAAAATGCAATTATTATTTATGCTGGTGACTATCAATGCTGTTCTTTTAATGTTGATTACAGAGACAGAAATAAGAAGATCATGTTTATGTGTTTAAATGGATGAACAAATTTGGATATGTGGTATATCTCCTAAAAAAAAAAAAGGAGCAATGGTCACAGTTCCCAATATAGACTGCTCCCATTAAAGCTTCCTTGGCTCTGAAAGGACTGAAGCATTTTCCTCTGAATATCCAGCAGGAAGATTTATGTACACTTTTAGGTCAGGGCTGTTCCATTAATAATGTTTAAAAATCAGATCTAGAGTGAATATACCTGAGTGTTTTGAGAAGTTTGAGGCATTTGTAATTAAAGAGAGTTTACAAAAATATGGTTACACTTTAAATAAGGTCGTTCCATTGGTTAACGCTAATGTTGGGGAAAGTTAATAGTAATGCGTTATATTTTGTCCCTAAAAATTAACTTAATTCTGTTACTTATTTACTGGGCTGGGCTTGCTTGTTCATTTTTGTAATAACAAAAAAAAGTTCTATTCTAGTACACCAGAGGTGAACCGAAGAAGCCTCAAGCTAAAGGAAATGCAGATTCACAGCTGAGGGTGCAGCTCAAATAAACCTTTCAGCTTTGCAGCTATTTTGATTTGCACAAAAATTGGACGCAGGAGACGAAAGATAAAAATTCTTACTTCAGCAATAAAAACAAAAACAATACAAATATGATGTTTAACCCCTTCCCCCACACCCTGCATTTTGGCAAGTGGGGCATAAATGACATACCCAAAATAAAAAGGTTGCAGCTCATAAGTCATTCTGAATAGACGCATATATTTATAAAGCCAACACCTAAGAGTTTACAGTTCAAGACTCCGACTCAGTGAACTTTATTAAGAGTTAATTACTCGTAAATAACAGTCTATGGAGATATATAAACTCAACTATGCTGAAGCCAAACGTCTGCTCATTCTTCATTTCAAATCTGAGGATGTTATCTCTAAAACTATGAATTGTAGGAAATATTTTATAAGACCATGTCATGTAAGTTTTTAAAGAAGGCTGATAAGATGCTAATAAACACATTTTTTGCCCTGTAATCACCCATTTGCAGTCTATTGTCTAATGTCTGGTGAAGAGAACTGTCCCATTCATGTTTGTATTGTTCTTACTCAACAAACTCTTTACACCTCTGCCGTGATTGGGACCAAATCTTCGTTATTTTTTTTTTTTATCATTATTCTTTTGTTTGTATTTGCCATTATTAGCTTTTATTCTGGCGTTAAATGGCCTGCCCATCTATACCACTTTGATTCCACTTTACATTAATCCACCTATTATCTGAAGTCTTTCTGGAAAACAAACAAAAATAAGCATATTCTTGGGACCTTATGTGAATTCTTTTAACAAAATAGTTTATGGAATAGAATATCTTATGGCATAATTTAAATACAGCAGGATTGCTTAATATTCTAAGTTTGCTATTCATTGTTTTTAAGAATACTTAATCTGTTTTTGTGCAAGTGAGATGAGTAAATGCATGTTCACATTTAGTCTAGAACTCTAATAATCATCAGGTTTAGACAGCGCACACAACGCCTCTGCACCCCATTTCTCTCAACATGGAGACACAAATGTGTCAGTCAATACATGGGAAAATAAAGTAACTTCTGTTACTTATTTAAAAAACTAACTCAAATATTTTGTTGAAAAGTAATGCGTTACTTTACTAGTTACTTGAAAAAAGTAAGCCGATTACGTAATGGACATTACTTGTAATGAGTAACCCTCAACACTGGTTAATGTTAATTAATGCAATAACTAAAATTAACTAACAATGAGCAATTCATTTGTTAGAGTATGTATTATTTTTTGTTAATGTTGGATAATATAAATGCAACTGTTCATTGTTAGTTCATGTCAGCTCAAGTCCATTAAATAAAATGGACAGATACAATATTTGATTTTAATAATGTATTGGTAAATGTTGAAATTAACTTTAAGAAAGATTATACATACTTTAAAAGTATTTTTCATTGTTAGTCCAATAAGACCATGTTAACTAATGTTCACAAATGGAACCTTATTGTAAGGTGCTACCAATTATCTTTTAATAATTTACTCACCTTCATGTGATATCAAAACTCAGTGACTTTATTCTGTGGAACATAATCGGAATTAAATTTTGTAAAAATAATTATTGCATTATATTTTTGTATTACACAAAATATTATTTAATATATATGATTAACAGAAGTAAATATGTGACCCTGGATCACAAAACCAGTCACAAGTATGGTATTTGTGGCAATAGCCTACATTGTATGGGTCAAAATTATAGATTTTTCTTTTATGCCAAAAATCATCAGGATATTAAGTAAAGATCATGTTTCATGAAGATATTTAGTACATTTCCTACAATAAATATATAAAACATTTATTTTTCTAAGTGGATGCAGCCCAATCGCGAACATAAATGGACAACTTTAACTAAAAGGTGATTTATTTTCTCGATGTTCCGCACCCTCAGAATCCAGATTTTCAAATAGTTGTATCTCAGACAAAAAATGTCCTGTCCTTACAAACCACACATCAATGGAAATCTCAATTTCTGAAAATGTACCACTGTGACTGGTTTTGTGATTCAGGGTCACATATACAGTATATATATATTTTTTTTTAATTAAAATGAAGTAGAAATAACGTGTTAATGTAACAACTGCACATTTAAACTTTGCGCAGTGCTATTTTATGATACTGTTATGGTCCATTTGTGTGTGTGTGTGTGTGTGTGTGTTCCACAGAATAAAGTGAGAAAGATCAGGAACTACATGAGAGTGAGTAAATGAACACAACATTTTCACAATGATAGATAATAGTGAAAATACTGCTATATAATTCACTTTGTATAAAGTAAATACAGCATATGTAAAAGCAAAGGAAAGAGGAGAGTGAGAGGGAATGAAAAAGAAGGAGAGAAGAGGAAGACTAGATGAGGTGGTGAGCTCCTGACAGTGCATCATCATAATGCAGAGGAGCGAGAGATGGAGGGAGAGAAAGAGAGGAAAGCACTGCACAGAAGAAGCCTCCCACGCACAGATGACTGTACAGCTCCTCATTAGGGCACAGTGTGTAGGTGTTCCCCAGCACAGAAACACAGGGGTTGGAAGAGAACGAAAGAAAGGGAGAGCAAGCCCTCCAGAGACACAGGGAAGAAAATGAGAGATAGGAAAGAGAGAGCATGTCACCCACCTTGGCCAGATGATGCTCAGAGGAGAAACCCAGCCCATACACTGTGTTGGCACGGCTGTCTGCCCACTGCCCGAACTTCTGAGACGTCTTTGTGAAGGTCATGTTCGGGGTGATAGTGCTGTTTATTATTGCCTGTGAGATGAAAAAGAAAACAACTCCTCAGAAAAGAATGTGAAAACACGAGTGCGTGTTTTCAATACGGCCTTGAAGCGTTTGAGATGAAGGCCCTTTGAGAGGGCAAAAAATAGGCAGAAATAGCGTCCATAACATGGGCTGATTGAAATATTGGATTAACAGCCAGCATAAAACTGTGTGTGAAAGAGTGTGATCCATTAGTGTATCATCATGTTTGTACAGATCTGTTGGAGATGTGGCCTTGGTGTTAGTAAGTTCAAATGTGACCTTTGATATTTCTAGAGTTGTTTTTGTTGTTAACTATAACTAAAACTAAAATATTAAAAAACATTTTTCTTCACTGAAATAAAGCTGAAGTAATGTATAAACTAAATATATAAATAAAAAGAACTATTATATGAAAAACTTTAAGTTTAAGTCTCAAGACCCAAGTTTAAGTCGGAGTACGAAAATGACTGAAACCGAAATAACAACGCATTCTCATCCTAGGGCGTCATATAGGTGACACTTTTGAAATCGCGTCTAAATCTGACACACATGGCACTTTTCGCGTCAATATAACGCTTCGCTTACGGCAGTGTTTCTCAAACCACTGCCATTCCCCACTTTGAAGGTAGGGAAGGGTTCGTGCCCCACCTGCCCCACCCTTGCAATCGCCCCCCCAAAAAAATGTGAATAAACTAGATAAACACTAGATAAAAATAATAATGCAATTGTGTTTGTATTTTGCCTCTGATAACATCAAATAGTTAATGAGGTGGTAAAATCCTAATAATGTTCATATTTTAGGTATTTTTAAATAATAATTGTATTTTGTATTTTTCGAAGACTATCATATGTGTTTCCAACAGTATATAGTATTTTGTGTGTAGTGTGGACCATCTGCACCTCTAGGGGGGTCCGGGGGCATCCTCCCCCGGAAGAAAAGTTTGTACGTTTTAAAGATAAATTCATATTTCTGGTGCACTTTGAAAGTTCATAATTAAGTGATTAACTAATTTAGTGTCTTCAATAAGCCTGGTTTGTAGTAGACTACACATATTTTCTGAGCCAGAGACAGAGAGCGCTCACCGCTTGACATCACAACTAGGCTCTTCAGTGTTTTCAACCACATAGTGCTTATTTTAGATTCAGATATTTAAATTTGCAGAAGTTACTAAAAAAAACAATACATTTAGAGTTTGTCAAATACACTCTTATGTCTATGAAAGCGGAAAGTGTGTTTTTGGCATAACGTGCAATAAACCAATCAGAGTATCATCTCCCATTCCCTTTAAAAGACAGTCGTGCTTGTGCCATGGCGGATTCTCTCTTTACATGGCGAAATTTGCAAAACGGAAAAACTGAGCGCTTTGCAAGCGGAAACAGATCTTCACACGATCAGAACATCTACGGGACAAAGTGCACGCCTGATGTGGACCCGCCTATAGGCGCATTTTACTAACGCTCTTTAAATAAAAAAAAAAATGTTTTATTTAAAGAGCATTTTAGCAATATACACCTATAGGCGGGTCAATCTAAATAAAATAATTGTTTTGTTTAAAAAGCGTGTTAGTAATATGCAACTATAGGCGGGTCAACCCAGTCTATTTCAGTTGCCTCAAAATAGCAACACACCTACTAACGCACCTCATTTTCTGACTAGGACACACAAATGCATTTGCTATTTATACAACGTGGCGCAGGACGTGAAAATGATAATTGCGTCGGGCTGAAACTAACAAAAAACACTTGCGTCGCACCTGGCGCCGAGTGTATGATAGGACCCAAAGCTGTTCTCACGTGTAAATGAATGTTGAATGGCCGCTAACGACTGGAACTCGCATCTCCGAAAACGTCTAAACAAATTGTCAAATATGCGCTTTGTTTATTTATAAGTCGCATATTTGAGGTCTAGATAACTATATCCTCGCCTAATAAACTCCTAAAACTAAATTCCGTGACACAACAACAGAAGTATTTGTAAAAAATATGGTGGTCTGCCTGTCTGCCATGACATTTCCTGTGATAAATGCTGCCATTGGAGTGATACAAACAGTGAAACGGTTCCCATGGTGATACTAGTAGAATATCACATGGCTGGAAAAGGCTCTCAGCCAATCAGAACAAGAATTAACTGTTGTATATAATATAATATAATATAATATAATATAATATAATATAATATAATATAATATAATATAATATAATATACAAGGGAATGGCAGGTAAACAACGGGTGTAGAAATCTTTGACCACATTTTCATGTGTACACATTTCATGTGTATTTAATGCCAAGGCACAAGGATGGAGTTTAAAGTTAATTAGTGATCAGTTATGGAGTAAACAGCTAATATCCTGTTGAATGAGGGGTCTTTCTTAAATTTTTTCAAAAAATGTCTAAATGAGATGGTCAGAAATGGATGCTTACAAATACTTGCTTTCAGTACATCTCAGGATGTTTCCTGCGTTATGAGTCTGTGAAATGTTATTGATGAAATGACGACAGTCACTGCCAGTGAATGTGTTTGTGTGGGTGTGAAACCGAGAGCAAATAAGGAGGGAGGAAAGAGCGAGAAGGAGAGAGAGAGAGAGAGAGAGGAGAGAGATGCACTGTGAATGTTGCACATATTCTGTGGATCTCACAATCATTAATCGAGCATCAAGAGATTTAGAAAGTCATCAAAATCCTGTATCATCTTCACAGAAATCCCATTCTTAATAAGTAACATGCCTATTTCTACAAAAAAATGTATTTACCTATAAAATTACATAAATTTCATATCATGGAATTCCAACGGCAGATTTTTTTAACTTGTTTTAAGCATAAACCTCATATTTTTATCTATTTTTTTTTTGCACTATGGTTCTTCAAGATGGTGAATGTAAAACATGAAATGGATGGATGCGCAAAGCATAGCAATCCACGAAGGCTGTGTGGATAAAAGGCCTCGAGCGCTCTCATACTCCCACACACTTCCAGAACAAGGCCAATTGGCCACATACAAACGTGTAATTTCAAGCGAGAAAATCGACAGTGGGCTACCACTGTCAGATTCCTGTGTGTGTGTGTGAGAGAGAGAGAGTATGTGTATAAGTGTGTTACACACATGTTATACAATCATTGGAAGGATGAATGTGGTTCCCTCTATTTTATACTTCCAATTTTCAGCATTTCCATGGATATTTAAGGTTGACCTACAGAGCCTCAACAGAAGAGTTCTGAAAGTAAAAATCCTATTCATTTTCAATTGCTTATACAGTACATCTGCCTTTGTGGAAACCAGACATTTTAACAATTTTAAGCAAAGAATATCTGGTGAATTGCTACATAAAATCCTGAAGAGAGATCATCCACTCATCATGAAGTTGCTGTTACCATAGTAATATGAATCACAGGAATAGAGCTGAAAAGAGATAGTCCACATGCTCATAGTTAATTTTAGTTCTCAGAGTCTGCAACAATTATCCTTTCAGCCAAATACTCAAATGTTTATTAACAATAAAACCGTGGTCAAAAAAAGATTTTCAAAATGGCCCAATATCTCCATGTAACATTTAGAGATGACAATTAGGACCAGATTTCAATTATCACAATTTGGGGAGAAAAAAAGTCTGGATGGTGAAATTACTCTTAAGCTGCAAAATGCAAATCATGATTTCTCAAGGATAAGTGTGACACTGAAGACTGGAGTCAGCCTTGCAATTAGAGAAAAAAAAAATCATTAAAAACATATTCAAATAGAAAATGGTTATTATAAACTGTAATAATATTCCACAGTATTACTGCACTTGAATGAATATCTAACACAGTCTCATCCCAAAAAGTCATATAACTGACGTCTTGGGGCGTATTTTGACCATACGTCAACATCCGCCGTTTTAGGGCCCCCTTAAACGTCGGTAGATGGCGATCCCGGGCCGTCATACAACTGACGCTTTACCTTTAACGTCAGTAGGTGACGGGTTAGGTTTAGGGTTAGGTTTAGGTATGGGGTAGAGTTAGGATCCCATAACCTCATCTACCGACGTTTAAGGGGGCCCTAAAAAGGCGAATATTGACGTATGGTCAAAAGACGTCCCAAAACGTCAGTTATATGACGTCTTGGGATGAGACCGGGTTGGAATATCATATAAATGCAGTCATGAGCGTCTCCTTTCTATAACATTAAGGATATCTTCCCAACCTCAAACATTTGAATAGTAATATTTTTAAATTGCGCTATACAGACACCTCGGTAACACTTTAAAATAAGGTTTCATTAGTTAGCATTAGTTTATTACTTTAGTTAGAATTAACTAAGAACAAACAATACTTCTACAGAATTTATTAGTTAATTTCAACATTTACATTATTAAAATCAAAAGTTTGTTAAAGGGATACTCCAACGTTTTTTTCATATTAAAATATGTTATTCCCTTTACTAAGACGAGTTGATACATACCGATACCATTCTCATCTCAGTGCGTGCACTCAATCGCTCTGGCTCGCGAGACACTTTGATCGCACTTAACTAGCCCAGTTCATTCAGTATGGGCCAAACAGAGAAGCGACCAAACACCTCCACGTTTTCCCTATTTAAATACAGTTACACGAGCAGAGTAACTCGACCTAGGACGGTGACACAAAATAAACGTTGCACTTTTCTAAGCATGTAAAGTGGATAACTACTGTATATTGTATGGCGGAATACCACAGCAAGTGCTTGGCAGCACTTCGACTCACTCGGCGCATATATATCTATTCTGTGGACTCTATGGCGCAGTAATATCATCACTCTGGAGAGTGAGAGGGGGGAGAGGACTTTTCACGAGTGATGATATTACTGCGCCGAGTCGAAGTGCTCTCAAGCACTTGCTGTGGTATTCCAACATACATTATAGTTATCAACTTTACATGCTTAGAAAAGTACAACGTTATATTTTGTGTCACCGTCCTAGGTCGAGTTACTATGTAAGCTTGTTTCCGCCACTGAATAAAAAAATAAAAATAATTGTGACTTTTTATCTCACAATTG